GAGTCGTAGGCGTCGAGTTCTAACTGTTTTGAACTCCCTGAACTCCTGGGCACCATTCGCGAGCAGCCCTCTTTCTTTTTGTGGTGTTGCCTGATATCTCAAAGAAATCGAACCGTCAACCTTAGCAACTCACTAATGTCTTGGCTCTTGGCCGAGGCATAAGTAGGTGTACCCACGGCCGAGTTTTTCGAAACGCGGCGTGCCCAAAAAACTTTAGGAGATAAATCACGCCGAACCATGGGCTCGCTTAATAGGCGCGGCTTTGCGCACCCTGGCGCCCCCGGCTCCCTTCGTATCGACACACCTTTCAAGGTAGATCGGATGTCTTCGATCCCAAACCCTCGAAAAGACTCGCCCTGTTGCGCATCTTTTCGCGGCTTTTCCTGCTGGGTCTTTTGAGCATGGGGCTCGGTCATTTCGACCGAGCCGGGTAGTTTCAGAGGAGCGTCGTGGGTTTGGCCGAGATAATTTCGGTCGGCCGGCCATCGAGGTATAGTCACCTGGTTCTACTGATCTGTATCATGAAGGGAACCCAGGCGCGTTTGCATTGTCGTCTGATTGGCCGAATCGCGTATTTGCAATGATAGTGCAACGGTCATGCCTTTTTGCTCGCATTGTTGTGGTAACGCTTCGGTCATACTGCTTTGGCCGAACTGTGCTTGATTGGCCACAGTATGGGTTGGGCCGAATTGCTCGGCCGTAGACACCGTAGGACTAAGCCTGAATGCTTTGCTAGAGCGTGGAGTGGGCTACATGCTTTCTTTGCCGGTTGGTTTGGCCCGGGACTCGCCCTTGTGGGCTGGGCCTGCCCCCAGCTGTTGGTCGGCGGCAAAGGATGCTGGCCATAGCCTAACACTTGGGTACGGGAAAAGACGCCAAGGCTGCTGCTTTTGCCGTATGGCTCAATCCTTTCACGTTCCTGACTTCTATGTCCGGCTCCAGGGGGTGTTGTGGGCTAAGTCACCGGCATTCTCTCCTGGAAAAGCATTCGTAGCTCTGAAGTGAATTTGTCCACCGTGGCCATAAAGGATGTCTCCATCCTGTAAGCCTGCTTGGATATCAAATCCTCCATTACTGCTTGTTCTTGTATGGACTCGGCCGTACGATCCGTCATTACTGGAATGCTGGCCCAGATCCGGACTGTATGTTCGGTCTCGATACTTGCGATTGGTGAGGTGGACTCAGGAGTCTCAGAAGTCATTTCGACTGCTTTGTTTTTGAGCTTTGCCTGTGCCCTAGTTTCCACCATAAGTTGTTGACAGTTAGTCCCACTGGGCGTGCCAAAAGTGTCTGCCGCGCAAATCTCACGGAATGGAGTTCCGGGCCGAGGGGATATGCGTTAACACGCGGTTTCCTGCTTTTGGGTGCGGTGCGGTTTGTGCGCGGGCGTGCCAGCACGG